TGTGATCCTAAAGGCTGCTGCTATCAAATTTTGATACATTTCTTTTTTTCTTTCACATTAAAAACAAAGGGTTTTAAAACCGATAGATAAAAACATAAAATTGCTTATATTAATAGGGTCCCATGTGATGCTTTGATATATGTATATATTGAATACTATTTAGATCATGTTTATCTACTAAAACATTATTTCTTCATGGTGAAAACATTCAGAATCCTTTGTTCTAGCTTTCTGAAATACATAGTTATCTATAGTCATCTAGTGTGTAATAGTACACAAAAACTTTTTATTGTGTTTAATTGTAACTTAGTACTCATTGATCAAGCTTTGGCTATCCTTCCCTCCTGTGCTCCCCAACCTCTAGTTATCATCATCCTGTTTATAACATTTAGGAGATAGACTGTTTTGTGTTCCACATGAGTGAGATCAAGCAGTACTTGTGTTTCTGTGCCTGACTTATTTCACTTAACATAATGATCTGTACTTCCATCTGTGTTACACAAATGGCAGGCTTTTCTTTTTTTTAATGGCCGAATAGTGTTTCCCTGTGTGTATTTACCACATTTTCTTTGGACATTCATCAGCAGATGGGCATTTAGATTGTTTCCATTTCTTGGCTGTTGTTAGTAGTGGTACAATAAGCATGGGAATATAGATGTCTCTTTGATGTACTGATTCCATTTCCTTTGGATATATACCCAGTACTAGGATTGCTGGATCTTGTGGTAGTTCTATTTTTAGTATTTCTTAAATTTTTAATTATTTATTTTTGGTAGAACTAGGTGTGAACACAGGGCCTCACACTTGTTAAGCAGGCAGTCTACCACTTGAGTCATTCCACCAGCCCCTATTTTTAATTTTTGGGGGAATCTTCATACTGTTTTCCAAAATAACTGCACTAAAGTTCCCACTTACAGTGTGCCAAGTATTCCCTCCTTTCCACATCCTTACCAGCACTTGTTACCTTTAGTCTTTCTGATAATAGCCATTCTTAGGGGTGGGGTAATGTCTCATTGTGGTTTTAATATGAATATTTTTTAAAAATTATCTTACATTATTCCCAATAAAAAGCTTTTATGTGGATTAAAATTTTAACTTAAACATTCACATCTGAAATTAAAGGAAAATTGTTTGGTTTTCTTTTTATTAGACTTCAAACCTTTTTTGTTAACATATCTTTCTGTAAGTTAAAATGCATGTGACTCAGTTATACTTGCCTTTTCCATTTAAGTCTTGACATTTTCATCCTTTTTGGATTAGAATGTACCTCTTTGTAGATTTGCTCATTCACTAAATGGTGATTTGAAAACAGTCATATGCATATGGTTTATGAAGATGACTTACCTAATCTAGTTATAGCCTTCTAAACAAGTTTTGGAACTTCAGTATTAAAACATCAGTCATTCCCATTCACCTGATTTCTAGGACAACATAGAATGGCTATTTCCAGACTCCTCATGTAGAAATCTAGAAAGGAAAGATAGGAAGTAACCCTTGAAATCTTCCATTTCAACCCCCTCATTTCATGTAAGTAAAAATTCAATGCAAGCAGATCCTCAATGGAAATGTTAGTAGGATTCATTTAATTAGTAGATAATGATACCTTGCCAGCTTTAGTTTATCATGAATGTAGGATTGTCATAAAATTTGGGACCTCTACCCATGACACAGCCAATGTTAAAAAAGAAACAAAAAGCTTTTATTCCCTTTTCAAGTAATATTTAACGAGTAATTTGTCAAAAATTTGAAAGGGCTGGGATTGTTGCCTGGTGGTAGAGTGCCTGCCATCTAATATGTGCAAGGCCCTGTGTTTGATTCCCACCACTGCAAAAAAGGAAAAAGAATTACAAGAAAAATTAAGTTGTGAAAACTTGAATATTTGATATTTAATATTCTCAGTCATAAAAAAATCAGATTACACATAAATAAGGTAAATTGTAATATATAAATATGGTTCTGACTTTTTTTTGTTAAAACCCGCTGTTGGTTTTCTGTAATTCCCCATTCTTTAGGCCTTTGGCTATTAGCAAGGAATGATTTTCAAATTTTGTGGAAGTGATTTTTTTGTTGCTGTTTTGTTTTTTGTAGTGCTGGGGGAGGTTAAAACCAGGACCTTTTGCATGCTGTCTCCCACTGAACCACATCCCTAACCCAGGTTTTTTTTTTTTTTAATTTTTTTCATAAATGTACTTCCTTTTTCTAGGGACTCACTGCTTAAAATGTGTATGACTTGTTGATAGTTTTAGGTGTTTTGGTTTTGATTTTTGTTTTTATTAAGCGCTACCATTGGGTACCGGGACTATGCAAGCCAGATTTTAAGTATTTAGGTAATTGTCTCATCAGATTTTGGTTTGGAAAATAATGCGTATCACAGCTATCAAAATTAATTGAACAAAGCTACTGGCTCAGAAGTAGTACATCTAGGCTTCACATTTATTCCATAGAGTTACGTTATTTCTGTGGGGGTTTTTTTGTTTAATTTTTTGAAGTGGGATTTCACTGTGCTTTCCAGACTGGCCTCAAACTCTTGATTCTTCTGCCTCAGTCTCCTGAGTTGCTGGGGCTGCAGGCATATACCACTGTTCCTGGCTTGCTTTTCTTATAATAAACACTTATGATATATAGCAATCATGTTGTTTTCTTTTCTGCAGGGATGTTTGCAATTCGTGCTGATCATGATTTTGTAGTTCAGGAAGATTTCATGAAAGCAGTCAGAAAAGTGGCTGATTCTAAGAAGCTGGAGTCTAAATTGGACTATAAACCTGTGTAATTTTCTGTAAGGTTTTTGATGGCTGTGTGACAGGCATTGGCTTAATGTAAAAATAAAGTTAAGGAAAATAATGTATGTATTGGCATTGATCTCATTAAAAGTATAAATAAAAATATGTAAGAGTATCATAAAAAGTTTGTAATTCAGTAATTTAACCTCTAAAACTGGTACAGAAGAAATTGGTATGTTAATGTTGCATTTGTTGCAGCAGAAGTTACAAAAGTTGTTGAAGTTTTTCATATTTTCTGTGAGCATTTTGTAAAACATTCAAAATGGTTTGAGATAGTAGTACAAGCAGCGTTTCTTATGACTTATTTTATATCATTTGTTTTCTTCATCTTAAAAAGTTGAATAAAATCTGTTTACTTTAGTTCTCCTACATATATTCTTGTGTTTTCTAAGTTTTGGTTCTTTAGCAAGTAAACTGTTTACTTGTAGATAACCCATATGAAGTTGTAGTTTAAGATAGTAGGTTTTAAATTTTATATTAAAATAATCCCCACACTTGAAGTTCATAAAATCATCTTACTATATGCCATAGATGTATGAGGATTTCTCTATATATTCTTCCAGAAAGTATTTACCTACTCTTCACTTCCTGTGATTAGGATATTTGATAGTTAATTGAAAAAGTATGTGCACATTCATAACCTTTTAAGGTTATATTTAAATAAAATTAAAAGTAATATTTAATAGTTAGTAAATGTGACTGGTTTCTTGCCTTATGTGAGACAATAGTTCCCTTTTGAGGATGTATGGTCTTGATACTTTCCCAGAAAAATCCTCTTACATACATACACAATTTTGCATATACTATAATATAAGGAGATTTTTTTCCCCAAGCTCACCCTTGGACTCTAAATTATCTATAGATAACAAGCTAAGTAATGTTGATGTCAGGAATATTCGAAACAAAAGTTCTGTAACCTACAAACAATTCTTTCTAATTTCATTCATGGCAATAACAGTTTTAATGAGTTACATAAAGGAATCCTCATTGTGCATCAGTAGAGACTATTTTATAATTAAAGGTACTGTGGGAAAAAAGACACTCAACTTCAGTTTCATCAAAACCAAAGACCCAATTATATATGACCTGGCTAATTTTACAATCATTCTTCAAATTAAAAGCATACTAGTAGAGCATTCTGTGCCTTTTATAATAATTTTTGTTGTGTATTTTAAGTTTTAAATGTGGAGAATTGTTTAGTGTTAGAGAACATGGAGTGCTTGAGCTGGCCATCTGGTTCTCGCATTTCTGAACAGTTCTGTGAGTGTTGGCCATGCATTACATATGACAATATTAAAAAGTATAGAATGTGAAGAGAGGTCTAAGTCAAATACCCATTGTGACTCTTTCATTTTCGTCTATTATAATTTGCATTTAGATAATGCTTTTTTACTATTGTGCTGCTGGGTTTTTGTTTTGTTACTTTTTTAAGAATCAGTTTGATGTAGAATTCTTTTGAATGTGGTTTCTCCCGCTTGTTAATTTGAGTTTTTTCATCTGTTTAAACACAGAATAATAATAGTATCTTCCCGGGCCCAGAGAAAGTATGTATTAGCCTTTATTAACAATACCCTAATGCGAACTACTTTTTTAAGAAGGTACTTGGTAATTCATTGTTATGTGGAAATTGTAATACAAAGGGAGAAATCTTGAGTATAGTGTTGAATTTAATGAGTAAGTTATCAGTTCCGTTTCTGATGACTTTTTCCTGTTATTATCTTGAAATTTTCTAAGTAATCTAGACTGAATTTTATCCCAAGTATTCTTAGAGGTCTGGTGCTTCGGTTTCTTGTTCAAAGGGATGGGTGTGTCATTTCCGTGTAGTAACATGCATCTTAACTCTTCCTGCGGTTTGGGTCATAACTTCACAGATTACACAGAATTTTGAGCGGGGACGTCAGTTTCTGTTGTGTAGGATATTTTGCCTGTTTGCTGTCACACTGAAAATGGTATCTGCGCCCTCAGGCCCTCCACTGCCTTCACTAAGACCTCCTTTCTCCCTCTCCCGCCGCAGCCCCACCCCCTTCTGCTCCGGTCGAGGCTCTGCCCCCCGCGCCTGCGCTCTAGCGTAGGGGCGGGGCGGCGGCGCGCTGACACCTGGCGGCGGCGGGGGGGGCGGGCCGAAGGCGAGCGTGGGTTGGGATTGGCTGGGCCGGCGTGTGTGAGGCAGCAGGAGGAAGGAGGGGGACGGTTGTAGGGCTAGTGCCAGTGCCGGAGGCTGGACTGCCTGAGGGGCGCGGAGACTCGGCGGAGGGAGACGGCAGCAGCATGGCGGCCGGGTACGAGCTGCCGAACCCTCCTCTTCGCCGCTGTCTCCGCCGTCACCACCGGAGTCGCTGGGATCCTCTAGTGTGCGTGTGTTCGTTGTAAGCTCGCCGCCCGCTCGCCAGCTTCATCCACCGGCCCTCCTTCCTTTTGCTGCCACTGCCAGCCCGAGGGTCGGGCCGGTTGGATCGCTCCCCACCCCACCCACCAGCCCGCAGGTCCAGACCATGGAGGACGTGAAGCTGGAGTTTCCCTCCCTCCCACAGTGCAAAGACGACGCGGAGGTGAGGCTCCCGCGCTGCCACGCGCAGGCCTTCCGTGGTGCCTGCGGCCGAGGGGGTGACCCTGGGCCCCCGTCGCAGCTCCGCCTCGGCTGGTCGGAGCCCCGCTGCCCGTCGAGGGCATCCCGGGACCTCGGGGCGGAACCTGGCGCCCGGCTCTCTCCTTACTCCGGCACGAGCCTGCAGTTCCTGGGGTGACCCTCTGCCTTCGCGTTGGGGGCCACCTGGCCTGAGGGTCGCCTTTGATTTTCAGAGCGCTCGGAGCCGAAGTAGCTTTTCATCTCAGGTTGACGACCATCCGCTCGTGAGACACATGGCCCCACATGTGGGGGAGACTGGGGCCTGAACTTGCGAGTGCGCCCTCCAGTAACGCCCCGAAGTTTGTTGTTGTTGTTGTTGTTTGCTTTTAGGCAAAAAAAGAAATGCTGTAACAAAGCTAGTTCATTCTAATATGAATTTTTTAATCAGAAATCTTGCCTTTTGGGAGAAAGTTAATATTGAGAGCAAAATTCTTTATACCTCGGCCTCCTGGAGTTTTGATTCGTTTTTTTTACTTCACCTTGTTTCTTTTGCCTAACTTTTGTACAGGGAGTTTTTTTCGTCTGCTCCAAATATTTTATGGTGTTGGAAACTATTAAGTTAGAGTTCCCTGTAGACTAAATTAGGAACGGGACAAGAATACTCAGTTATGCTTTCTTTAATAGGACCAAGAACGAGGTCTAAACTTTGTAGTTTTAAGTATCTTATTGGGAAAACTAAGCCCCCCTTTTTAGGAGACTATTCAGTTTATTCTAAATATTTTATTGAATATCTTCATTTTTTATCTGAAGGGCTCCTTTGTGGTAATAATGTGAGACTTGTATATATTTTTAAAGTAGAATCGTAAATAAGAAAAATTAATTTATACATTTTCTCTTTTTTTTGGCAGTACTAGGATTTGAACACAGGATCTTAGTGCTTGTTAGCCAGATACTCTACATTTGAGCCACGCCCCCAACCAGGAGTATGCTGTTAACGTCGTCAAAATAATTCAGTAATTTTTGTAGTGTAAGCAACCTTAGAAATAACATAGAGCGTTCCCAGTTCAATTTCAAGAAATTGCAGTTAGAATAAGTTTTTCCTCAAGCTAATGCTGTACTGCAAGACACAGGAGGACACTGGAATCCTGAACTTGATTCATTGTTCTAATACACCTCAATCTTTCCCTTCCTAATTTTTAAATTCTAGCTTAAAGTTTCCTGAAACTTTGCATTTGGTCTTTTATTGTGTATGTAGTATGTCTAATCTCTACAAAAATTCTTACTGAGAATATATGAAAACAGACCCTGTTTTTCTATCAGTAAGTCGAGGTTTCCTCTTACATCAAGCATTCCTCCAGTGGACACCAACTGGGTGTCCCATAATTCCATTCCATCTGTCACTACGAGAATTAGTTGGATCGCCCAAGTCAGCGGTTCAATCTCATAAGACTGTCACTTCTCCACACTTCAGATGTCAATGGCTAGTAGTGTTAATCTGCTAGTCTGGCTCACAGAACTCAGAAATGAGTTTACCAGTTTATTATAAAGCATGTTACACAGAATGCAGATAACCAGAAAGAAGAGGTACATTGGGCAAGCTATGGGGGATGGGGTTGGTAGAGTGGCTCAAGCAGTAAGAGCACCTACCTCACCAGCATGAGGCCCTGAGCTCAAACCCCAGTGTGGCAAAAAAAAAAAAAAAATTTACAAAACTTAATCTTCAACTCCCTCCCACCCCCACCTCACCCCTATTCCCAGAAGTCAGTGGATGAAGCTTTAAATTCTAATCCTTTAATCACCTGGTCTTTCTGGTAAACAGACCTACCCTAAATCACTAGTACCCTAAACTTAATGTGATTAAAAGTGGTTCATTATGAATAACAAAAAAATGCCCCTATCAGACAAAGCTGAGTTCTGTGACAGGAACCAGGCTAAGAACCAAATATTTCATATTTTGTACTATAGGGACAAAGAAATTACCGGAAAAATACCTCAGTTCTTGTGTTCAGCAGGAAAAGAGTTGAAGTAAAATGCAAAGATACAGCCAAAGTAAAGTTTAGTGGAAAAGGAATACACTTTCAATAGATTGAAAGCAGGTAGAGTAAGAATGATGATTCAGGTTTTAGAGTTGGTGTATTTATTGAGGAACTCTTACCCTCAAGTCTGTTTGGCCCCTGCTATAGGTTCCTGGATTTTGGTCTTTGTCTCGTTAAATTAGAAAGATTACCTGCATAAACTACCAGTTTCTGCTCTGACAGAGAATTTCTGTGTGAAATTCTTAAGTTTTTGCACTATGAGATGTCTAGGGTGCAGCTCTTTGTCTTGTTAAATTTAAGAGATTACCTGTGTAAACTCCTAGCACCAGGCCTACCTGATGTTTAGGGTGTGTTACTTTTGAATGAAGAAAGGAGTAAGCTTTAGGTGAGTGGCTGACTTCAGAGCATCCTCTGATATCCCCTGGCCTCTAGCTACTTGATCCTAGTAGAGACTAGTCATCTGTGGAGTTGGGGAGTTTAGTTAATGATGAATTTTCTTTTTTCTTGCACTGCTTATTTCTAAGTCAGGTAATGCTTAAAGCCTAGTTGAATAATAATACAATATTGTCCCCTGAAAGCCAACTGAAGGCCTTATTTTGTAGCACTGAATGTTTGATCTCTTGGTTCCAAGTAATAAAAAACAACTCAGACTAGCATAAGCAAGCAAGGAAAAAAAAAAAAAAAAGTAACTACTGAAAAGTAGTAATATAAGCAAATCTCAGGGAGTTAAAACCCAGGTGTTATACTGCATCATAACTTCCTCTGGTTACATGAATTCCAGTCTGAATCTCCACTTTTCTTTCTCTCGGCCATCAGTAGTTCTGAGGTCATAGCCTTAAAATACTTGCTTATGGAAGTTGAAAGAGTTTAAAAGCTAGAAGATTGACTCAGTTTAGGTCATGTGATTCAGACACCATAGACACCATAGCCAGGAAAGGATGAATATATTGAGAGGACCTGTCTAACTCATATTCCTTGCTGAGGGGTGTAAAGTTTACAACTGGTAGTGCTCCCACCATAACCTTAAGGGCATTTCCACAGATGGAGGGTGCTTCCTGGGCTGACAAAACTTAAATGGAGGCCATATAATAAACCATTTAACAGGGGATATAGCTAATCATAATAAACTGACTAATGGAATAATGTTAATTTTCTAATTTCCAGTGAGATGTGTAGCATCAGATGGTCTTGTAGTTTAGGGTGAACAGCCAGTACTGTTTGATTCCACATAAGAAGAGCCAAAATACAATCCAAATCTTCCTTTGGTAAAAACGAAATTCAAGCAGAGATTTGGGTGAATGCTTTTAATGATCAGTGTGATCGGTCTGATAGTTTGGTAGTTCTGCTGCCTCTCCAAGAATATTGCTTCCAGAATAATTGAAATGCTGGTCGGGCATTCTTCATAGAGGACGTATTAGCTATACAGTTCACTCACTTTGCCAAAAAGATTGTCACTTCTCTAAAATTTTTCTATGATTCTCCATTGTTTTAAGTTAAAACCCTTAATACTGTCTTCAGGTCTTGTGTGATCTGGCATCTGCCTCTCTCTCTCTACCCTTATGAGCAGCTCTTTGCCCATACTCTCTTCCCTGTGTGCCTAGGACTTGCTTCTTAATTCCTGGAGTGCTTTAATTTTTGTCCTATCTTCTGCCATGGCTTCCAGCACCCTTCACCTAGTTAACTACTTAATTGGGCTTAGAAAAGCTTTCCCTGTTTTTGCCAACTCTTACCCTTCTCCTTGCTCCCAGACTAGTTTAATCCCACAAGTACTTTAGCATTTGGTACTTTTATACCTACCTTTATAAAAGTTGCCATTTATACAATTTTTAGTCATTGTCTGCTTTCCATGGTAGGCTAACTCTTTCATAAGAGGACTTAGTTGTATCAGTTCCTGTCTGATTTGCCAATACACATAGTGTCTGGCATATAGCATAAAATTAATAAATGTATATTGAAGTAATGAAGATTCTTGATTGATTTTGATAGTAGAATCTTACTTGTGTCAAGATACCAGTAGACTTTCATATGTGAAGGAAGACAAAAACAGAGCTTGTAATAATCATTTTGTGTGTGTGTGTGTGTGTGTGTGTGTGTGTACTAGAAATTGATCTCAGGGCAAGGTAAGTACTCTATCACTGACCTGTAATTCCCAGGTGTTGATTTTTTGTGGCATGGTCTCTCTTTGTAGACCAAATAGGCCTTGAATTTGAGATCCTCCTGCCTCTGCTTCTGAGTGCTGGGATTACAGGCATGACCATCAAGCCTGCCTTATAATATCAGGTTTTTTTTAGCTTGGATCACAAGTGCCCACTAATTACCATGCCTGGCTTGTGGAAATGGGATCTCCTAGACTTTCCCCTTAGGCTGGTCTGAAACTATGATCCTCCCAGTCTCTGCCTCCAACTTAGGTGGGAGTACAGGCATGAGCCAGCACACTTGGCTCTATAATGCACATTTTTAAATAAATTAGTTTTCTATTTAGATTGGTGTTATAATTAAAAAAATCAATGTACCTCGATTGTTGTTCAACAATTTCAATGTTATTCTTTTGGTTCCCAAACAAAATATATCTATTATTTCTGACTAAAAAATCCCTCTTCTAAGCTCTTTGATTTAAAGTGGTACTCTTCAGTCCTGGCTATAGAGTAGAATCACCCAAAGAGCTTTTAAAAATACCCATGCTTGGGCCCCACACCACTGATTCTGACTTACTTGGTCTGAATGGGTGTAGATGATACTAATGTGCAGCCAGGTTTAAAAATCACTGATTTAGAAGCCTCTTACTTGAATGAATCCTCTTCTTCCTCTCCATGTCCTCGCAACTCTTATTATTTTTATTTTAGTGGAAAAATCTCCTTTTGTCCTTTGGTTTAAGCACAAGCTCAGCTAGATATGGAAACAAAAAAAAAGGACTTATTCTGAAAAGTTCTGCCTAATTTGGTAGAACTACCAAAGAGATTATAATACCAGTTTTTCTATTCTATGAAATGTTGCAGCACAAGTCAGCATTCCCCCTCTACTCCTGAAAAAAACCAAACCAAAACAAAAAATGAGGAAAAAAAAGAAAGGCTTATAATACCAATTTTTAAATTTTTATTAAAAATTAAATCCCCAGCTATATAAAATGTGTATCTGTCTTGAAATTTCTAAAAGTTAAATGTGTTAATTCACTTGTTCTGATAAGAATTAAATTTTCACTTTATCTATACTCTTCATTGGTACATTTATTTGAAGTCATTGAATATTTTTGTGAGATTGTTTTCAATCCTTCAGTTTTAAAACTCATGTTATTTGATATTTTTAAGAAGAGAGATCTTGAATGATGTTTTAGCTCATGTCAGTGATTAAAGAATTTTCACTCACGAATTATTTCTATCAGAAGTAGGGTGCGTCTCATAACTAGAGGTATTTTGGCTTATCTGGCTTGCTTTTCATTTAATAAATATGGTTGGGCTGCTTGGGTAATCAGTAAGGCTCAAGAAAGTGATTCTAGTCATTAACTACAATAGTAATTTAAAAGAGAGTTTACGTTAGTACTACAGTCTCAAAAGGGATGGATTTTGGAGCAGCATGAGAATGAGTGTAACAGAAATCCAGGTGTAGTTACATACATATGTAATCCCAACTCTCAGGAGACTGAGGCAGGAGGATCATGAGTTCGAGCCAGCCTGGGCTACATAGCGAGACCCTGACTTTAAAAAAAAAAAAAAAGAATGAGTATAATGGGATGGGGGTGTAGCTCAGTGGTTAAGTGCTTGCCTATAGTATGCATGAAGCCCTGGGTTCAAGCCTTAGCACCGCAGGGAAGGGGAAAAAAAGTATGATTAAGAGAAGAATTAGGCATTGAGAGACATGTTGAGACAGGTAACTGTCTCCTAGAATAAGACTGAGCAGGAATTATAACCTTTAAAATACTGATCTAGTATGGTAAAGGTGGATCAGTAGACAGGACAGGTTCAAGGTTTGTTCTGCAGGTCAGTATCATATTTGGATGTTGTAGTCCGTTTTCTTTTGCCAATAACTCAATACCACAGACTGGGTAAGTTCTAAAGAAAAGAGGTTTATTTTTGCTCATGGTTTGCAAGACCACAGGGTCAAGGGCCTGAATCTTATCTGTCCTGTGAATAGGGATAATGTCCCATTCTCTCCTACTATATGGCTTGCCTTTTGCTCCTGTAGTTAATTTCTGTATTTGTATAAATACAGAAACAGTCCTTCATGTTCTTCTGCCTACAACCTTATGGGAAGATTGAAGTTTCTTTGGAGTACCTGATTTTGCTTAAAAATTTAAGTATAATTAGCATTTTTATCCTATATTTTCGTATTTGCTAATATAATCTTTTGGAAAAATACACAGTCCTGGAAAAAAATTTTTTGTTCTGGGGCTTTGAGTTTCTTCCAGCACATTGTGAAGTTGAAGAGTTCAGGAAATGCCACTCAGAAATATGTACCTTTAGTATATTGATTACTTTGAACTTGAGGCACTTGAAAAATGGCAGTTGTGAGGAGACGCTTTTTTTGAACCCCCCTTACTGCCTGCAGAAAAGTCCTCCAAAAGGAGCTCAGTTCCCTCTTAGGGGGTTTAATCAACAATGGAAGATTAATTTATACATAGGAGAGCAGAAGTCAACACCACACCCAGACAAACTTTTGTCATTAACTACCATCTGTTCTAAGGCCCATTTATCTTTCTCAGTATTTACTTTTCTAAGTTCCTACCTCCCCCTCTTTCTTCCTCCCCACCTCCTCCCCTAGGCCCTCTCTTCCTCTCTCTAAGGGACAGGGTTTAGACAGGGTCTTGCTATGTTACCCAGGCTGGGGTTACAGGTACATGCCAGCTCACCTGGTCTAAGCTTCTAAATCTCACTGGTGTTTACGTGTGCATGTAATAAATTTGCATGCCTTTTCTGCTGATCACCTGCCCATTGCCATTTTATTTCATAGCTTTATTTATCATATCCTCAGTTGGAAGGGAGAAAGTCTCCCTTCCCTACACAAGTATTCCCCAGAATATTTGTGCACCATCCATCTACATGTGTTCCCCTGCTTTGTTTCTTTTATCCCACACGGTTTAATGATTTCATTTTAGGTAAGCTCGGAAGTACATATTTCTTTTCTTTAATTGCTTTTCTTTTTCATAACTTTATAACAGTTTGCTTCAGGAAGATAAGACAAAGAAAAAGGCAAAAAGTTCCATAGAAAAGCTCTGCATTATGCACATCTGTTGTGTCGGCGTTCTGTGTAAGGCACTGTGCTCAGTATTAAGGGCCCCATGACTGAAAAGACAAGGCCTTTGGTTTAAGTTTTTAAAAAAAATCTCTATATTAAAAAGAGTAACATAATAAAAAGAAGTAGGAAAACATCCAGTTGGGTTACATTTCCCCTTCATCTGGCTTACAAATTATATGGTTTTATTCCAGTTCGTTACTCCTCCTGAAATATTACTGAGCTTTTGTGCAGTTAATCTTTATTTAAATATGTTTTGCCATAAAGTTCCTCTTCACAGTGAAAGACTATATAAGTGTAGTGATTAAGAGCATGTACTCTGGATTCAGTTTACCTGGACTCAAAATCAGGATTCTTTGTTCTGAAAATAGAAATATGAAATAGACACAATGATAGTACATTTTCTTCAAAGAGCATCTTTTAAAAGTTTCTTTAATAAGCTTTTCTGGTACTGAGTCTGTTTTTGTGTGAAAGTGTCTTTTATTTTATTCTTTGTTCTTAAAAGGTGATTTTTGTCCTAACCCATCTTTTTTTTTTTTTTTTTTAAACGGGACTGGAGTTTGAACTCAGGACTTCACATTTGCAAAGCAGGCGTTGTACTACCACTTGACCATACCTCCAGTCCATTTTGCTCTGGTTATTTTAGAGATGGGTCTTACAGACTATTTGCCCAGTTTCGCCTTCAACCACTATTTTCACAACTTCACAATCTCAACCACTATCTTCACAAGTAACTAGGATTATAGGCATGAGCCTCCAGTGCCGGTCTTAGCACATATTCTTGAGTTATTTTACCTTGCTACTTTGAATTATTCCTTTCTTGATTCCATTCTTGCAAAGGTAAATTTTATGGAGTGCAATGCACAGATAATGTATTACTGAATGAGTTTTGATAAATATACGTTAGCAACTGCTATATCAAGATGAAAAGAGCATTTTTATCAATATAGAAAAGTGTCTCACATCCATTTCTGGCCATTTCCTACCCCATTCCACCCAACAACAGGCAAACAATGAACTGATTTCTGTCACCAAGCATATTTACTGTTTCGTGTATTTTTAAAATTTTGTTATTTTATTTTTGTGGTACCAGGTACTGAACCCAGGGCCTCATACGTGGTTGACATACACTCAGCTATACCCCTAGCTTTAGAAAATGTTCTTAAAATATATAATTTTTTTGCTGGGGCTATAACTCAGTGATAAAGCATTTGCATAGTATGTCCAAGGCCCTGCGTTCAACTCCTAGGAATCAAAAAAAAAAGTATAGTGTAATAATTTTTTAAATCCCATATTCTTGTACGTCACATCATTATGACATTTTTCATGTTACTTACTTTTATTCTTTTGTTTTTTTTTTAAGGAGTGGACCTACCCTATGAGACGAGAGATGCAGGTATGACTGCCTTTTATTAGTTCAAGGCAACCCCACGTCATTATTATTAAATAACATAACCTAATTTTACAAAGGATTTGAGACCTGTAGGGTCATGAGCTGTAGGTTTATCATTATTTTAAGAATGAACTGTCTTAAATATTTAGGTTAAGAATTATAGATACACTTACCCTAACTTGAACATTACACAATGTGTATAGATAGCACAGCATCACATGGTGTAGGTACTCCAAAGATATGGAAACTTTCATGTATCAATTTTTTTTAATATGAGAAATGAATTATTTTTCTTTCTTTGATTAGATTCAGGAATACTGCATGTTTGTGCCTAAGGAGTCACTTTCTTTTTCCTCATCTGAAAAAAATGGGATATTTTATCTGCATTCCTTTTGAAAGCATTGCTTTCTCTGTCCAGTTTAAATTCCAAAGAATTGATTGTAAAGTAAATCTGACTTTTAAGTAGTTGTTCATTTTTGTACCTGATTTCCAATTGACATTCATAGCCTAAGTCATCCACAAGAGTGAGTTGAATACTTCCAGTTTGGAATTAATTCGTTCCTTTTTTGCATTCCTTACCATCTGCAGTCAGCTCTGCTAGCTTCAGGATCAAGCACTGTCCTAATTTCTAGAAATTCCTTAACTTGTAAAGGTCTCCTGTCACAAAGGCAATAAAAATGGGGGTTTAATAAAAACCCCCATTTAAAGACACATGAGCTCATATCAGACATTACTTGGTACTATGGGAAGTGCAGAGATGATGAGAGATTACCAAGAGAAATCCATGCCATTGCAAATAGTTATAATTAGTTCTTTTTACTAAAGGTAATATTTGTCATCCTGTTGTGATTTGTTCTCTTTGTTTTGGGGAAAGGTTTGCTTTTTTCTTGAAGCTCACTATAGCCCCAGGCTAGCTTAAACTCAAGATCCTCCTGCCTCAGCTTCCCATGTGTTAGGATTATAAGCATGCACTACCACTCTCAGCTTTTGTGCTGTTTTTCTTTTCCTTCTTTTTTTGGGGGGAGGGTGGCACTGGGGTTTGAACTCGGGCCTCACACTTGAGGCATGTGCTCTACCACTTGAGCCACTCCATCAGTTTGTACTGCTTTTGATTTGGCTGAATAAGGTTGTGTGTATTTGCAAAGGGAGAATTTTCTTTATGCCTGTTTTATTTCTAGACTATAGCAGACAATAGAAGTACAGTTAGAGAAGTCTTATTAATTGAAAAGGCAATAGTACAAGGTACTTATTCTGTCAAAACCTTATTAAAAGCACTGTAGAAGTTTAGATAGCGGACTTTTCAGAACTATATGTAAACTTAGAATGTCTCACTTGATAATTATAAAACACACCTCCATTTTTCTTTCCAATCATTTGTCAGTGCGCCTAGGAAATGCTTCCTACATAACAAACTTTCAAGCAAATTACGATAACGGTAACAGAAAAAGTTCCACAAATCCAGTTAGATAGCATATATTTGGTATAGGTTTAAGTTGCTGATCATAAATATATACATATATTTTGTTTTTTAGGAAATTTTACCTGGACTGTTTTTAGGCCCATATTCTTCTGCTATGAGAAGCAAGGTATGAACTTTAGGTTAAGTTCTCCAAGAGACTTTAGTAACCAGTTTTCTCAGGTAAGGTTTTTAGTAGTAAGAGTTTTATTTTAGAGCATATTCACAAATCCTATGTGTTCACAGTAATTGTCATTCCATAATGCCTACTTCTTTTCCAGTTTTATTTTATCTTAATATTTTGTTCATTTTTGACAAATAATTTTTATCAGGTGTTTTTCTTTTGACAGTATTGGGGTTTAGGCTCAGGGCCTTGCAGTTGTGCCCAGGAAGGCCCTGTACCACTTGATCTGCCCCCAGCCCTTTTTTTTGCTTTAGTTATTTTTGATAGGGTCTCATCTATTTCCCACATAGCTGGGATTGCAGGCGTGTACCACACCATTATTCTTGGCTTATTTGTTGAGGAGGAATCTCACTAACTTTTTGCTTGGGCTGGCCCCCTGGTCTCAGCCTCCTGAATAGCTAGGATTACAGGTATAAGCCACCACACCCAATTCTCTTTTCCAATTTTACTATACCAGTAGTACTTCTCAAGTGTTTTACCATAAATTATAAGTTTTGTAATTTATTTTTCTCCTGGAATCCATGTATTTGAAAGATTTGCCAATCAAAATGACCTTATTTACTCTGTAAAGTATTAGATATCTATAATTGTTAGGCATAGCTTCTGAACTATATGGAAATACAAGTTAACCTTTCTCTATCAAGGATAAGAGTGTGTGCTTTTTAACTGAAAGCTACTCATTTTAAAATTTTTTTCTGTTTTTCCAGACTTGAGGTGTGAGTCCTTCAGGTTGGAAAGCATTGTACTATGCAAATCCCATGTAGTCATACTGTAATAGACTTTTGTAGTGGAAATGGAAAGATCTCATCTACTGTACAGAGCAATGTTTTTGCCACTCCTAGAAGATACAGCTTTATCAATTACGACAATAGTACTAATTCTTTTTGCACTATAATGTGAAACATCATATAAAAAAATCTTTTTCCAATTTTCTGCTTGTTGAGAGGTCAATATACTCAGGTAGTATCTGATATCTCCATTGATATAATTTGTACTTGGAATTTTAAGTGATTTGGAGTTTTTAAAAAGAGTCATTCATCTTGAAACCGGAAGGTTTTTTGATGGTTGAGGCATGACTAAAGTAACCTCAGTTATTTGGATGGCTGACCACTGGGTTGGAAACAAGGAGTTGGTAAAAATTCACAGGGAAATAGTAAAGCAGATAATATAAATGTAGATGTGACTTACTCTGTAAAAGACAAATGTAAAAAAAGTTACTGCCAAAGCATGTAGCACTTGCCAAATACTGACTTTCAAGATGATTGTAAACAATTTGCTTTTTAAATTCCCACTGCACTGTCTCCTCAAAGCTGCTGATTGTTTGTTCCTTTCTTTGTGGTAGTGGTGGGGGGTGTCAGTGCTGGGGTTTGTACTCAGGGTCTTGTGCTTGGTAGGCAAGTGCTGTACCACTTAAGCCACTTCACTAGCTCAAAGCTCATTCACAGTTTCACCATCTTATTTGACTGAAAAATAAATAGCTTATATGGAGTATTTTATATTTTCTACACTGAGTCACCATAATACAGCCCAAACTTCTTTCCATATCATCATCCAAAAAATATACCTTTTAACAACAACAAATAATAATGGAGATAAAGAAAATTCATTTACTTAAGTATCTTTCTTACTGCATTCAAGTACAGTTTAACTAAAAGGGATAAGTTTATTTTATATAATTTTTATTATGTTTATGTTATATATAGTTATAGATCATAATTTCCTTTATGTAAGCAAATCCATTGGAAAGTACAAAATATTCTGGTTGTTGTCAGAGTTTCATTTTGATAAGATTTGCTCTACTTAATCTAATGTGCCTTCAAAGCTCATTAATATTTTTTAGAAGTTTCATTTGCAGTTTCTCACAATAATATGAGATGTGAACATTCTATCTAGATTAGCAAGTATAAATGAAGGAATAAATGTTGAATTAATTTTTTGGGGGGGAGGTGTTGGTACAGAGTGAACCTAGTGCCTTGCACATGATAGGCAAGTGTTCTACCACTTGCCATGACCCCAACCATTTTATTTTGTGTTTTGTTTTTGAGACAGGGCCTTACTAACTTTCCTGGGCTAACCTTGAACTCACCTCCACCTCCAGGGTAGCTGGAATCACAGGCCTGTGCCATCACACCCAGCTTAATTTTGGAGGTTGACATAAATGTGAATTTAGAACATTGGCTAATTACTAATCCTACCAAACCCTTACCTCCTCCTCCTTACTCAGGATGTACTCAGAAAATACAAAGATAATTTAATCTGTGCTGACATAGAAAGTTTGCTGTAGAAAATGACATTTAAAACTTTTGGAAACCAAAATTTCCTACTTAATTCGGGCTATTAAAATACCTGAGTTTGGCTATCACAATTGTGGACACTGGGGAGTCTTGAGATCAGGTTGTCACCATAATCCAGTTCTAGTGATAGTCCCCTTTTGGCTTGATTATCAGTGTCTACCTACTGTATCCTCACATGTCCAATAAAGCAAGCCAAGTTCTTATCTCTTGTTTTTCTTGTAAGGGTCCTAATCTCTCATGGCGTTTCCTCTCATGACCTCATTTAGACCAAGTTTGGTTTAATAAACTTCCCAAAGGCCCAACCTTCAGGGTTCAACTTAAGAATTTGGAGGGGGGGCATGAGCATTCAGTTCATAACACATATAAATTATCCTTTGACTTCTCTTACAAATTATTAATACTGTTCTGGACTATTTGATGCAGAGAGTGAGAATTAAATATGTGGAATATAGACATCATGGAAAATTCAAGGTTATTAATTCTGATCTTCATGCCAGTATGATTTACTCATTTACTGAACACTAATTATTGAACTTACCTATATTACCCATTTTTTAATTATTATCTTAGTAATTGTCACAACCACTAAGTTAATAAGTAGTGTTTTCCCCATTCTCATATGACAAAATTGAGCCTCAGAGCACAGGATTTCTAGTGTAGGATCTCATGATGCTAAACCCCATGCTTTTAACCACTGCACAGTACTGTTTCCCAAGTAGATTGTCTTTTTTTTTTTTTCAGTGCTGGGGCTTGAACTCAGGGACTACACCTTAAGTCACTCCACCAGCACCAGCCCATTTCCTCAGCCCCACAACCCCCGCCATGGGTGTTTTCAAGATAGGGTCTTGTAAACTATTTGTCCAGGCTGGCTTTGAACCAGGATCCTCCTGATCTCTGCCTTCTGAGTCACTAGGATTACAGGCATGAGCCACCAGGGACTGGCCTAGGTTGTCTTTCAGGTCTCATCAAGCTCTAGAATTACAGCTTTTAAAAAACCTTGTTAGGCGCCTGGGCAATGACTTTCACACCAGCAAGTGCATGTGAGGAGATCTCCATCATCCCTAGCAAGAAGCTCTGCAACAAGATCAACGGCTATGTCACGCATCATATGAAGCTGATCCAGAGAGGTCCCATGAGCAGTATCTCCATCAAGCTGCAGGAGGAGGAGAAAGAGAGGAGAGACAACTATGCCCTGGAGGTCTCAGCCCTGGATCAGGAGATCATTGAAGTTGACCCTGACACTAAGGAAATGCTGAAGCTTTTGGACTTTGGCAGTCTCTCCAACCTGCAAGTCACTCAGCCCACAGTTGGGATGAATTTCAAAACACCATGTGGAGCTATTTAAATCTTTCTACTGAGATGTAGTATTTTCAATAAACCCAGGAACACCCAAAAAAACAAATAAGTAAATAAAATAAAATAGCTGTGTTAGCCTTTAGAGAATAGTTCGTGTGTTACTCATGAATCATAGAACTATCTTACTGATCACTCCAGGAAAATCAGTATGGAAGTAGCTTTAATCCTCTGTACTTAAGGCTCAGATGTGAGTCTTGTGTATTTTAGACATCTGTTACAGTAAGCTGATGTTTTGAATTTAAACTGTTTCTCTTTACTTCCCCCATTTTTTATAGCTACCTATACTACAGAAACATGGAATAACCCATATAATTTGCATACGACAAAATATTGAAGCAAATTTTATTAAACCAAACTTTCAACAATTATTTAGGTAAGAATTATTGCTATGATTTATTTAAAAATTTTAAGAATAGCAAGCATGAATTATAGTTTTTTATTATTTTTGTTTATAAGATGGGCCATACAGTACATATTATTTAAAATAAAATTTATTTCAAATATGTTCATAATACAAATTTCTAGGAGCTTAAAAGAATGTATCCTGAAAAGTAGGCTCCCAATTGATGTGACATGGTGTTCTCCTCAGGCCAGGCCTAAGCCACACTAGGCAAGGCCCCAACATTCACCTAGGAGTAGAGCTGCTGGATCTAAGAATATGCGCATTTTGCATTTTGATAGATGTTGCAGACTGCCCTCCAATGAGTTGTATCAGTTCAAATTCCCACTATCAGGTGTATGAGAGTGACTCGTCCCTTGGTCCTTCTTCAAGACAGAATCGTAAAGCTTAATTTTCCCAGTGTTGTGGAGTAAAAAATGGTGTTTCATGTAGTTTTGACTTTCTCAACTTGTGATAAGTACAGCTGAACATCTAATATTTTAATATTCTTTACTTTAAATTCATTTTTAAATTAAAGAGTATTTTGTACATGATACAAAGGTAAATGGGTAAATAAGCCACCTCACTTCTTTCCTGGGAAAAGACACCTGCTATTAATGCTTTCTAGAGTTACTCTGTATCTATATAAAAGCATCTGTTAAAAATGTTTTAATGCTCTGGGTTTATTTTTTATAAAAATGAATGCAACCTATAAATTTCCACAAATATAGTATGTAACCATGAAAAAGAATGAAATATGTCTATACGTGTTGATTTGCCACATTCTCCATGATTTATTACATGAATAAAGTAGGGTACAGAACCAGATGTATACTCCCAATGTTTTAAAAATTATCTAGAACAAGTATTTACATTCTTACATAAGCATTAAAAATTCTTGGACCAGCAGACTAGAAACTTGCCACACTTGTTTCTGAGAAGGAAAATTAAGGGTGTAGGATGGTGGAAGAATCTATTTTTCATTGAGTCATTGTCTATAACTTATGCTATTAGAAAAGTCTTAAGGGGTCTAGCTATGTTGCTTAGGCTTCCCCCAAACTCCTGGCTCAGTCTATACTCCTGCCTCCGCCTTTGGAGTAATTGGAACTATTCAAACACTACTGGCATAGTCATTTGCCATCCATCACACTGGGACTTTTTTGTGTGTGTGTGTGATACTGGGGTTTGAACTCAGGGTCTCACATTTGAAAGAAAGTGCTTTATCACTTGAACCACACCTCCATTCCAGATTTTTTTTAATTCTGAAAGAAATACTTTTCTTTTTAAAATTTTTTTAGGATTTTTTTGGCACACAGAAGTGTGTGAACAAACTTGCTGCAGTATCAGTGCTGGCAATATAAATGGGGAGATCCAGATCCAGTGGGGGGATAGTGTGATATGTATGTATGTGTGTTGGATTCCTTTGGTGTATCCTCTGTGGGTTTATGGGAGGGCATTACACACAGGCCACTTAGAGAACAGTCTTCTGGTCTTAAGAAAGTTAATAGAAGCCAGGCACTGGTGGTTCATGCCTGTAATCCTAGCTACTCAGGAGGCAGAGATCAGGAGGATCACTATTCGAAGCCAGCTCAGGCAAATAGTTCTCAAGACACTATCTCGAAAAATACCCATTACAAAAAAGGGCTGGTGGAGTAGCTCAAGGCATAGGTCCTGAGTTCAAACTCCAGCACTAAAAAAAAAAAAAAGTAAACAGAAATAGAGTAAGAGTAAGGATTATAGGCACTTTTTGTCTTTATTATCTGGTCCACTTTGAAGGTTTCTTAATTGCTTGTGATTTTTGTTTTAACCAGATGGATTTTTTAATACTAAGATACCAGATAATGTTACATGTTACCTAAGTCTTTAAGTACTGTGCTCTTAAACAATATAGACTATATGATCCAGTTCTTGGAAATGTGATACTTTGAAAATTATTTTGTATTCTTTTCCATGGTTATTAAGGAATAGTCAAAGTTATGTACTTAAAACAATTTAATCTAAAACTGTGCTTATCGCAGAATATTCTATTTTCAGATATTTAGTCTTGGATATTGCAGATAATCCAGTTGAAAATATAATACGCTTTTTCCCTATGGTAGGTATGAATATTTTAATATTATTTAAATTTTGTTTATGATTTTGACCTCTTTAATATCGTTCTAAACCTTACTACATTTACTTTGTTATGACTGAAGATTGTAGGATTTTTTTTTAAAGGAGATGAATTATTTTGTAGAAACTTTCAAATTAAATTTTAACTTCTGTATATTTTTAAATTTGTAATTGTATTTGTAGAATATTGGAATTCTTATTTGTTTGTTTTTGAGAGTGGGTCATGACCATGTAGCCCAGGCTGGTCTTGAACACACAATCCTTCGGCCTCAGCCTCCCAAGTACTGGGATTATAGGCTTGTACCTGCATACCTGCAGGAATTCTTGAATTAAGACAATTTTTGTTCATGTAAATTAACAAGAAATTGTTTTTACTGTATTTTATGTTTATGTTAATCTATATAGTTTATTATTATAACACATTGTTTTTTGCCTTTAGACTAAAGAATTTATTGATGGGAGTTTACAAAATGGAGGTATGTAGTGTTGCTTTTATTTAATGTTTTTTTAATATGGAAATGGTAGTCATATATAATAGACTAGTCCAGATTTGTGTTTTTCCCAGCTTTTTTCTTTAGATAGGCTTTTAAAAATCTCCATAGAACTATTTTCAGTTTCTCTGAAAACTTCAGTTATCTTTAAAAATCTATTTATTTTATTGAAAATTATTAAATATCCAAGTGGTATATATATGATATAAAATATCTGTGGTTTGATACATGATTTAAGTGTATTTCAATTGCTAACTCAAGTGTTTTCCTTTGAGAGTAACTATTTCTTGGTTTTGCTTTTTGTTTTTTGGTTTGTTTGGTTTTTTTTTTCAGGAAAAGTTCTTGTCCATGGAAATGCAGGGATCTCCAGAAGGTATGAAGTCAAAGATAATCTTTCTTTCTCTAACATGTAATTAGTGTGTTGTGGTTTCTAACTTTTTTCTCTGTCTTCAGTGCTGCCTTTGTTATTGCATACATTATGGAAACATTTGGAATGAAATATAGGTAAGAATGTACTCTGAAACCTAGCAACCATTTAAATTCTCATTAACCTGAAGTTTAGTAGACATGGTTGGGAGTTTAAAGATACATTCCTTGCTTTTTCATGTAGGCAGGTTAATCCAATGGCTATAATCTCTTAACCCAGTTTATTTAGCTATGACATAGATTTGTTTAGGCTAGTATTTATTTTTGTGGTTTATGGAGCTAGTGCTATTATTATTTTGAGAGATCAAGGTAACATTATAGGTGAATTTAACCCATAGACATCTACTTTCTTGCCTCTAAGGAATTGGTTAGTCTCAGTTTAGAAACTCTTGGACAAAAAAAGGGCTTATGTGTCATATTTTCCTTTATTAATAGTTGAGTGAAAAACTACTTAGGACTTGTCTGGTGCATCTATGCATAATTCAAGATAGTGTTTCTTATCAAAAATCATCTTCTCCAAGCATAGTACTTAGGGTTTTTTTTTTTTTAAGAGAGTGGGGGCTTATGACCTTCTTGACTTGAAGTAAAGCAAAAACCAAGCTAGTGTACAGTATTACCTTTCTCTGTCTTGTAAGAATTAGAAATCCTGTCATCATTAACAGCTTTTATTTCAATCCCAAATAGAAAAGTTTACTTAAAATTATCAGTTCTTAAAGATTTATTTTCCCCTGTACTGGGGCTTGAGCTCAGGACCTCAAGCTTGCTAGGCAGGTGTTCTACTTGAGCCAATCCACCAACCCAAGAAATTTTTTTTTAGTTCAAATGTTTTATTTAATTGAAAAATATTTAAAATGCACTGATGTACTTAGGTAAGTTCCTACTTGATTAATTCTGGTAAACCTGAGATTAATTCATGAAATAATAATTAATGCCATTGCATTAACTTTCTTCCTCTGTTTTCAGAGATGCATTTGCTTATGTCCAAGAAAGGAGATTTTGTATTAATCCTAATGCTGGATTTGTCCATCAGCTTCAGGTACCTAACTTCTCACCTCTTTCTTTTTAAGGCAGTCAAGAGTATAAAGTGTCAAAAATCTTTTGTCTGTATAGCTTAGGTGTAGAATTCACTCTGTAAATACTTAATGTCTCCATAATCTGATTAATCTGATGATTATTCAAGTTTGTATCTCTGTTCAAAAGTATTTTTTTAAGTTGCTACCCAGAAAAAAAAGAAAAAGGAATGTTGTTAAATCTAAGATGGAAAAATTGATGGCTTCTCTTTCTCTATTACTTTTTTTTTTTTTTCTTTTGTGGCTCTGGGGATTGAACTCAGAGCCTCATGCTTACTGGGTAAGCCATACACTGTCCTTTTGCTTTCAGTTTGTTTTTCAGATAAGACCTTATACTTTTGCCCAGGCCTGCTTCAGTCCATGATCTCTCTGTCTTTACCTCCTGAGTAACTGGAATTACAAGTGTGCATCACCTGACCTTTTTTCGCTAGTTTGTCCATACACAGAACATGAGAGTGTTTTCATTCTAAATACAGGTTGTATATCTCTAGTTTAGAAATCAGAAATCGCTAGCATTGGAATAACCAAAGCTTCTGGAGTGCTGATATTCAGAATTAGGAATGCTCAACCAATAAAAGCCTTTGCAAATATTCTGAAATCAAAAAATCTTTGAAATCTAAAGTATTTCTGGTTCCAAGCATTTTGGATAAAGGATATTAAGTCTATGTACTGACTATATCAGCCTTTTGTATCCTATACATTTCATCTTTTCCATGTTGATGCCTGGAAGATGCACAAACTATAAATTTCTTTGTGTTTTGCCTTATATAAAAATGTTCATTGTTTTTAAGCAAAATTTTATATTTGAAAGAATAATATATGCTCATGGTTAAGAAATTTAAATTCAACCAGGTTCTTTCTCACACCTGTAATCCTAGCTACTTAGGAGGCTGAGATCAGGAGGATCCAGGTTTGAGGCCTGCCTGGGCAGATAGTCCTTGAGTCTCCATCTCCAAAATAACCAGAGTAAAAGGGACTGGAGGTGGTGGCTCAAGTGTAGAGCACCTGCTTTGCAAGAGTAAAGCCCTGAATTCAAATGCCAGTCCCACCAAAAAAAAACAAAAAACAAAAACAAAAGAGACAGAGAGAAAATTTTAAGTAATGCCTAAGAGTATAATGTAAAGTACATCTCCTTTTTTGGTGGAGGGGGGCAGTATAGGGGTTTGAACTCAGGGCCTCACATTTTCTAGGCAAGCATTCTACCATATGAGCCATGCTGCCAGTTAATTGTATAACTTGATGATGGTGGTGCCATAAGACTTGACTATAATGGAGCTGAAAGATTCTTACTGCCAATGACTTATAGCCATCAAAACATTGTAGTGCAACCCATTTACTCTTGTTTGTGGTGATGCTGGTATGAACCTACTCTTTTGCCATAGTTTACTGTAAAATGTATGCACATGTCTGTCAAATAGTTTAAGATTTGGCATCTCTTATTTGCATAGTTTTCAGTTATCTTTGATTTAATCTTGTTTTGTTCATCATGACCTTGAAGATTAGGCTATACTGCACACACGCACACAAACCATATGGCTTGGGTGTATAGTAGGCTATACCATCTAAGCTGTGTAAGTAAACTGTGATAGTGATACAATGAAATCACCTAACCATACAGTTCTCAGAACATATTTTTGTCATTAAGCAGAGCATGACCATATATATATATATATATATATATCACAGTTTTATATGACCAGCTCATTATTCATGAACCTTTTAGATTGTTTCTATCTAATCTAGCCTTTTATGATTATAAACTATATCAGAAAGATATCCTGATAGGTATAACTTTGTTCATGTATGAATATTCTGTAAGGTAATTGATTGAAATGGAATTACTGGGGTAGAACACATTTGAAATTTAATAGCTATTGCTAAATTACCTCTAAAAAGAATGAAATGAAATATAAAATTACACCCATTAGGAAACAAGGAATGCCTGTTTCTGCCTACCGTAGTCAATACCAGTAGCCACAAATGTTTTATCAAATGTTTTGATCATTGTCATCAAGTGGTAAAACATTTTAGTTTGCTTTCCTTTGAATGAGTTTAGACTACTTTTCCCATGCTTAGATTATTATTATTTACTTTTGTGTCAGGTTGTTGGTTTTTACCTCATTGGTTTTGTAGGAGCTCTTTGTATATTAGGGAAACTTTGCATATTAAGGAAGCTCACTAATTTGAAATGTCTGTTTTAGCTTACAATCACTTTCTCAGGTATTTTGTCATAATCAGCTTATAAAGACAAAGGGCTTGTTGTGGCTCACAGTTTTAAAGATTCTAGTCTGTGATAAATTGGTCCCATTTTGGGGGGCCTGTGGTGTGGCCTCCTGGTAACATATTGGTGGGATGAAACTATTTGCATCACAATCCAGGAAGCAAAGAGAAAGAGGAAAGAGCTGGGTACCTAAAATTCACTTGAGGGGAAAGAAATTAAGCCCAATTCCTTCCTAGTGGGAAGTAAAACCTCCCACTAGTCCCCTCTCAAAGGTTCTACCTCCTCCCATTAGCGCCACCTCAAAGATTCAAGTCTTTAATACATAGGCCTTCTGAAGACAACCAATAACAATGCTGTTTTTATTATTTACCAAATTCTTTTATCTGCTCATCTGCACTTCGTTCTGTTTCTGAACTTTGTATTCTTTTTTTTTTTTTTGGCAATACTAGGCTTGAATTCAGGGCTTACTAGACTTGCTAGGCAGGCACTCAATCACTTGAGCCACTCTACCAGCCACTCTTTCATTGATCTGTTTATTGCTATATTTGTATAAATAGGTTTTTGGGGACAGGGTCTCATTGTGTTACCAAACTCCTGAACGCAAGCAATTCTTCTGCTTCAGCCTCCTGAGTAGATAGGACAACAAACACTGCTGCCATGCCCAGTTTAAACAGTTTTAAGTATTATGATTTTATAGAAATAACTTATAGCTCAAGATCCCTTTACCAATGTTCTTTCTAGAATTTTCTGGTGAGTTCTTATTTGGTGTGAATTACTGGAAGGAGTCTAGGTGCATTTTAAACAATGCCATCTCTTTATTCATAGTTGAAAAAGAATTGACACCTTCAGCTAGGCACACACCTATAAATCCCAGTATTCTGGAGGATGAGGCAGGAGAATTATGAATTTGAGGCCAGCGTGGGCTACATAGCAAGATCCTATCTCCAAATACCAAAGGACGATAACTTTGCCACTTTCCTAATTTAATTTTTACTGTGTTATCAGAACAGTGATAAGAAATAGTGATAGTGTTTATAACCATTCTTGACTTTCATGTTAATACTTTTACTATTGCACTGTGTGTGTGTGTGTGTGTGTGTGTTTCTATCCCTCTGTTAAAGAGCTTTTATCAAGAATAGATGCTGGGGGTTTTTTAAGCTTTTTTTTTTCCTAGTGTTTATGGAATAAGTATGTAGTTTTACTCCTTTGCACCATTAGTATGGTGAATTGCATTATTATGTCTTTGTACTGAATTTTGAAATAGCGAATCTTTCTTTTGGTTACGGTAGACCATTTTGTTTTGTTTTTGCAGTCCTAGGGTTTGAACTCAGGACCTACACCTTGAGTCGCTCCACCAGCCCTTTTTTATGATGGCTTTTTTTGAGATAGGGTCTCACAAACTGTTTGCCCGGGTTGGCTTCAAACCATGATCCTTCTGATGTCTGCCTCCTTAGTAGCTAGGATTATAGGTGTGAGTCACCAGCGCCCAGCTAAACTATTTTCTTAATATGTTGCTGAATTCTGTTTGCTAATACTATTTTCAGGATTTTTGAATCAGTTAAATAAATGATATTAGCTTGTTTTTTATGATTAAAGTTAGAGTTATGTACTTCTTGATGCATTAGTATATGAACCTGTGAAATCATTGACCTTGAAGTTTCATTTAAGTCAGACATTATTTCATTTGTTCATGTATTTTGAGATTGGACCAGTTCTTTGACAACTTTACCATTTGTTTGAATGGTTTGATTTTTCTTAGGTCACTTTGGATGGTTTTATCCTATATAATCATGCATTTATTAATAAAGCTACGTAAAGTTAAGAAAAATATCTTCTGATTATATGGTTATTTTTCCATTCTTGTTTCTGATTTTGTGTGCTTTCTCTTGTTTATCCGTGTAATCGTGCTGTCCTCTACTTTCTGCTTATCTTGTTTTCCTTGGGTTTTATTGTTTCTGCTGCTGTTCTTTGTGAAAGCTAGTTTCTTTTCATTCTTTCAAGAATTCAAGACTATGAATTACCTGCTTTGCCTTCTGTTAGTCATGTCCACAACTTCCGTCATGGAGTACATTTATTTGTGATAGTTTGATATTCTGTGGCTTTAGTTTTGATTTTTTTTTTAACATGCTTAAGAGGTTTTTTTAAGCTACATAAGTGATGGGGTTTTTCACTTATATTTTTGTTCATACTTAGTTTTATTACATTATGATCAGAGAATTATGCCTAATATTTTTACTTGAACTTTTATCTTTGTGCTTTAATACATACTTATTTTTATGAATACTTCATGGACGCTTGAAAAGAAGATGTATTTTCTTTTCAGGGGCTAGAGTTTGATATATTTGTCTACTTGATCTGTCTTGGGCTGAGCGAGGTGAATTAAAATCTATTACTATATTATATTTGTTTCACTTTTATTTCCTCTAGTTTTTTTGTTGTACTGCTTTGCTTTGTTGCTATATTATTTGATAGATAAAAAATTCAAGTTTGGTACTTACTCTAGATGTTTATTTTCCTTTTATTTATTTTCCCTTGAAATTAACTGTACATGAAAAAACTATACATTTTTGTTTGCTTGCATTTGCCTTTGTGAGTTTTCTCATTCCTTTTCTTTCTAACTCTGTGTTAGATGCATTTCTGAATGTTCTATGGTTGCATTTTGCTATTTGACCTAGTGTCAGCATCTTCTAATAGATGCCTTTATCCCATTTTCATTTACTAAAAATGACAGATACACTTTTATCTTTCATTTTATTTTGTATTATGTGTGGCTTCTGTTTCAGATGCATCCTTTTTTTAACTTCTTGCTATAGTTTGAGGGTTATTGCTTGTTTATCTTGCATGTTTATTTTTTGTAGTGCTGGGGAGTAAATCTAGGGCCTCACACATGATAGACAAACATCCTAGCACTGAATTACATCTCCAGCTAGGTACAGATTTAAGTAGTATTGACCAATGTAGAATCATCTTATATTGCCTCCTATATTTCTCATAATTGTACCTTTGCTATGTTTTATATTTATAGTTACAGGTTAGAATATTTGCATTCTATTCTGAACCATATTCTCCAGTTGTTCGTACCTAATTTTGTCCAGCTCCCTAGAGGTTTTTTTTTTGAGCACTGTTTCTAAGAATAATTCATGGGAACTACAGTACAAGACTGTGCATAGTAGAAAATATAAGGTTTTTAATACTTTTTCCCTCATGTACATCTAACATACTCTCTAGAAAGGTGTTCTAGAGAACACTGAAGACCGATTAATTTTTGAAGTTTTCTCTTTAAAGTACTTGATTTATAATAGAATGATGTTTATCAAGATATATCTTGGGATAGGGGATATAGCTTAGTGGCAGAGTACATTCTTATCATGTGTCAGGCCCTGAGTTCAACCCCAGACTGTTATTAATTTTTTATATCAATTTTTAAATCATTGTGTGCTCTTTTCACTTGCAGATTTTAGCTTTTCTTCCTTTTGGGGGAGTTTTCTATTATGTGTTTGGCTTTTTTGTTGTTGGTGTTGGTATTCTATTTCACTTTCTAGTTCCTTCTCTCCTCAGGGATGGAGTTTATATTTGTTTTTTGTATCATATCTTCCATTTTCTCTTTAATTATTTCCAACTTCATTCTTTGTTTCTTTAAGCTTGTCTTCTGTGTCTCATGTTTTATTTGCTTGTTTATTTGTCTCTTCTAAGATAAGGTCTTGCTGTGCTGCCCAGGGGGACCTCAAAACTCCTAGACTCCAGCAGTCCTGCTTCAGTCTCCCAAGTAGCTGAAACTACAGACATACACCAGCACACCCAGCTGTATTTGAAATACTAACTTGGCGCTATTCTAGGTACTGGCAATAAAGCAGAGAACAAAGTAGACAGAAGTTCCTGCCTTTGTGAAACTTACAGCAGGGAAATAAGATAACAAACAATACAGTAGGCAATGAATACATGAAAAAATAAGACTGTAAGGAGGATGGGATAAGAATTAACTTTAAAGGGCAGTCACAACTGAAGAAATCCTGTACATACTGGGGGGAGGCAATCTAGGTGAAGGAAATAAAGTAAGTGCAAGTGCCTCAAGTTGGGAGCATTTGTAGTGTTTTCAAGGAACAAAGCAAGCAAATGGGATAGAAACGGATGAGATCTTAAGAGGTAAGGGGGCACATTTATAGGCCTTTATATGCTATTGTAAGGCTATTGTAAAGCTTTTGACTTTTAAGTAAAGGGATGACATCTGGTTACTGTGTTTAGTGTAGACTATCGAGAAAATTGAGGGTAAGGATAGAAGCAAGTAAAACGAGGCTTTTCCTATAATATAGGCAAGGGATTATGGGCTTGAACCAAAGTGGTAGCAGGAGATGAGGTTCTAGGTTGTTTTGAAGGTATAGCTGACAAGACTTGATACTGGATTGAGTACAGGTTCTGTAAGGGAGGACATAAAGATGGAGCTAAGTCTTTTACCTGAACAGCTGCAAGATGAATTGCCTGTGATACATGAGGAGGTGATTTGATAAGGGTAAAATCAAGAGGGTTTTTTTGTTTTTGTTGTTGTTTTTTGTGGTGCTGGGAATCAAACTGATGACCTTGCATGTGCTGGGCCAAGTGACCTACTGCATGGCTGTACCTCCAGTCCCCAAGAGTGGCTTTGATCAGTTTAGCTTGAGAGGGCTATAAAGAAATGGCAGTTACATACAAGTAGAATTAAAGAGACAGAATCCTATACATATATTGCCAGTTTGTAGATGTTATTAAAACTCTGATACTGGGTGAGATCACTAGGGGAGTAATAGTGAATAGACTATCTCAAAGGCAGAAACCTAATGCACTCAGAAATGTGGAGGCTAGGGAGATGGATTAGCAGAAGGGATTGGTAAGGGACAGCCAGTGAAGTAGGGAGAAAATTAGGATGATCTGATTTCTATATGTCAGGTGAAGACAGTGTTTGAAGAAGGAGGGAGTGATCTACTGTCAAAGATCATGAAGTCATTGGTGTCCTTGAAAAAATTATTATGGAGCAGGGAAGATAAGCATAATTGCAGATTGTTCAAGGAAAAATAGAGAGGAATTTGAATAGCAAGAATAGATAATTCTAGGAACTTAGCCTTAAGGGAAAAACACATTAAATAGTATCTGGTGGGAGAACTAGAGTTAAGAGGGGGGTTATGTTTATTTTCTCAAATAGGAGGAAATATATAGCATTATCTGTGTGCCAAGCAGAACAATCTGGCAAAATTGATAATTTTGCCAGAATCTCATGGTATGGTCTGTTTTCCTTATTTTTTTTTTCCTGTCTTCCATTTCTTTATTGAGTTCAAATGTCTCTTCTTTTGTCCTATTTCTTCCATGAGTCCTTTTATCCCTTCTTTGAACTAATTTCAGATACACTATTGTCTTAGGTTGGGTTGACATAACAAAATACCCTCGGCTGGGTGCCTTTAAAAAACACATTTATTTCTCAAAGTTGTGAAGGCTGGGAAGTCCAGAATCAATGTGTGGCTACTGTTCCTTAGATGATTCTCATGTATAGCCAGGCCTTAGGATTAATGGGTTAGCCTTTACTTTTAGTTGACAAGATTAGCAGATGCTTGGTTACATGCAACTCAAGTTTCTCCTCCACCTTTCTATACTATACCTTGCCTCTCACAAAAATGGCATGTGTCGGTGTTCACTTTTTCCTTGATATTCCCTGCCTCCTGCAGCCCACTCACACTTCCTGACTGTCATACCACTCATGGGCTGGACTCTTAAGTCTGCCACCATTTTTAGAAGACCACCACCTGACCTACTCTGCCTCAGATAGCTGTGGAGGCAGGCCTCTTCTGTGCCATTTTTTACAAAAACTATTCTTTTGGAGATAGGGTCTTCTTATGTAGCCCAGGCTATACAGGAACTTGAGATCCTCCTGCCTCACTTTCCTGTGCTGGGATTACAAGTGTGCTCCACCAATCTTGGCAAAAAAAAAATGTTGTGAAATATATTACACATATAGACAATACATGAAATATAAACAAACACCCATGTAACCATTACCCAGGTCAAGAATTTGAATATTTGTCAGGACCTCAAAAGCACTTTTGGTTTTTTGTTTGTTTTTTTGGGGTGTGAATCAGGACTTCATGCTTGCTAGGAGGCAGATGCTCTACCACTTGAGCCATACCTCCATCCCTTCTTGTTCTGGTTATTTTTGAAATAAGATCTCACTTTTTGCCCAGACTGGCCTGGACTATGATCCACCTATTTTATGCTTCCCACTATCACTGGGATGATAGATTGCACCACCACACCCAGTTTGTTTTTTTCCCCATTGAGATGGGGTCTCACAAACTTCTTGTGGGGGGAGGGTTGGGCTGGCCTTGAATTGTAATCCTCCCAATCTCAGTCTCCCAAGTAGCTTGAATTAACAGTGTGAGCCATTAGTACCTGGCTCCAGAAGTACCCCTTATGCGCCTTACCAAGCACAACTCTCTCTTCTTCTTTTGTGAAGATAACCACTATTCTGACCTATTTGGTAATCCATTCCTTACATTTCTTTTCAGGGTTATTGATACTCCCTCGTTTTATCAATTAATGTTCTTGTTTTCAGAAATGAAAAAGGAATGGAAATGCCCTTACTCTTCCACCTTTAAATGGAATCAGGGGCTTACTGTTTTGTAAGGAATTACAAAAACAAATATATACTTGAATGGATTAAATGACTTATTCTGATTTTTAAAAATATTTTACAACAGTATAACATTTATTTTTACTGACTTACTCATTTTATTATCATAAACATTTAATAAGATTGCCAGTTTAAGTTTTGGTTGTTTTGTTGTCATTGTTGCTTTTAACAGATGAAGGAATTGGAGATTGCTACAACTAATGCCCAGTGGCAGAAGATACATAGTGACTGGCAGTTTAGTGTGAGACACACTAGTGTGAACTGAAGTGATTTGGTTTATAGTTATCAGTAGTTGGCACTTATGAAAGGAACTTTAAATCTCTATTTCTGTTACAACAATGTGGTGCCAGCCTTTTCATTATAAACCAAGAATATCAGTAATACACAAATCAATCATTCTTTTTGGTATCAAAGAATACAAATGTGTATCTAGGTTAATTAAAATATTTTCTAGGAATATGAAGCCATCTACTTAGCAAAATTAACAATACAGATGATGTCACCGCTCCAAATAGAAAGGTCCTTATCTGTTCATTCTGGTACCACAGGTAAGAGTTTTTTCTCTTTTGAAAAAGTTTGGGAGGAAGGTAATGGTTAAAAAAAAAATGGGAAAGCATCTATTATTTGTATACATTATACTGAACACTAAACTGTTCAGAAAACTTTTGGTAAACTATTGAGTTAAAATAATTTCAGAAGGATTAAATTTTGAGGAGCAGGCGGTGGGACTGAAGTTTGAACTCAGGGCTTTCCACTTGCTGGGCTCTACAGTTGAAGCCACACCTCAAGTCCATTTTATTCTGATTATTTTGGAGTTGGGGTTCTTGTGAACTGTTTGGCCACTCTGACCTAACCACTATCTTCCTGAGCTCAGCCTCCCAAGTAGCTAGGATTATAAGGTTATGAGCCACCAGTGCCCAGCCAAAAGGATTAATTTTTTGTGAATAAGTATGTATTATAGTGAGCTTCTGTGTGTATACCACTATACACAGACAATTAGAATATAGTGGTTCGAAGATCAGATATCTACTTGGTTTAGTTCTAGGTTTCTTAAGTAGTACAATTTTGTTGTAAAGATTCAATAAGAGGAGTCTGGATAAACTTGGTTGATCTTCTTCGAAATAAAAGATGGTAAACGGGCGCCGGTAGCTCACACCTATAATCCTAGCTACTCAGGAGGCAGAGATCAGGAGGATCATGGTTCAAAGCCAGCTTGGGCAAACAGTTTGCGAGGCCCTATCTTGAAAAACCCTTCACAAAAATAGGGCTGGTAGAGTGGCTCAATGTGAAGGCCCTGAGTTCAAGCCCCAGTAAAGCAAAAAAAAAAAAATAAATAAAAGATGGTTAATAAAAGCTAATTTCAAGTTCAAGAGGGTGACAAGTGTGAACTACCTCAGTTTTTCTTTTGCTGCCAGTATTTTGATCTCTTCTCCATTTCTGTTTTAGAAACTCCCCAAAACCCCCTCATTTCCTAAGATAATAGTTCAAAGAATCTTTCAAAATCTTTTATCTTCCTTTTCCAAGGTCTTGCCTAGCCTTATTTGGATTTGGTTTTTTGTGGTACCAGAGTTTGAACTTAGCTTCACACTTGCTAGGCAGACACCGTACCACTTGAGCCATTCCACCAGCTCAAAACCCTCTTTTATCTTTTTTCTGTCTACTAGAGCACTGGTGGCATTACTTTATTTACTTAGTTTTTCTGCACTATAGTTAATTTCAATCTTCTTTGAACCAACAGCCTTATTAAGTAGTAAGAACAGGTTACAAACCTGATTTTTGTCCACAGGTTCTGATCTCTCTGCTATACTGTCTACAGTGCTAAGGCCATACATTCATTCTTAGGCTCAACTTGCTAATTATCGTTTACTCTTTTCTTAACTTTGCTATCTCTATCTAACCACTTTGTAAATCCTATAGGGTATGTTTCCTCAGTGTTTTTTTGTTTTGTCTTGTTTTAATGATACCCTTAATCCCAGTGTAGTTCAGGTCCACATTGACCTTTTATCCAAACTTGTTTCATTCTATACATTGTAGCCAGACTTATTTTTATGAAGTTATTTGTAATGATATTTTTGCTTTGCCAAAGCCTTCGCTGACTTCATTCCTACAGAAGGAATATGTGGATTACCACTGGTAGCAAGACCCTTCTGATTTTTCAGTTTGTGTCTCAGTGACCTACTTTATATCTGCATTCCGTAAAACTGAACTACTGATGGTTTTCCTCTGTGTCTGTTTTTCCCACCTAAAGTGCATCATACTCAGTCTCCCTATTCTTGAAAATGTAGTTCAGATGTCATGTCCTCAGGAGACCGTGATGATTCGTGCACTTTTCCTCTAACCCATCATTTGGAGTTGCCATAGAAGTGTTGTACTTCAGCTGAAGCTCAAATCACAGAATCTGTGTTTAGCTTTAAGGCTAGGATATTTTCATCCCCCCTTATTCCACTGTACCACATTTTTATTCGTATTTTATTAATCTGGTAATGAAACATCAGAATCACATCAGAATCTGCCCTCTGAATTAACAGTATTATTAAGAGCCCTTAGGCACAGGTCTGAGGCTATATCATTAGGCAAAAGTCACGGCAGACTCTGCCAGTTTAACTATTCCCTAAAGTTTTCCTCCATTGAGACTCAGATTTCCTGAGTGTAACTATGGCCTATAAATAGGCTTGATTCTGCTAACAGACTGTGGTGTAAAGAATAGATAAAAATCTCTGGTCTTTATCTGCTATGCGCTCCCAACCCTAGACTTGTTGATAATAAAACCATAGCTTCAGTAGGAAAATATTTTCAGCTGCTCCTCTTCATAACAGTATCTGTGAAAGTAAATAAAATAACATGATTATTTTGTCTAATATGGCTAATTTACACATTTATAGGTATGATTAATTTCTTAAATTTTGTGTCTTAAGCCACATGTTTACGTTGCCTAATAAGCAAAAAGTTGGTTGGTAACCAAGCTTTTTGTACCATTTGCTTTTCAAAGGTTTTATTTTCACACTACTTTAAAAATTAATGTTTATTAAATGCAATACTTAAGACATTATTTAATTCTAAGAAGGGAACATACTGTCTTGAAGACAAAAAAGTTACTTGGGCAATCTACAACAAAATAATTTACCAGAGTTTTCTATAAATTCAATCATGAATATTATTGTGCATACGTACTATCACTTTATGAAAACAGATTCTTACTGGCCATAATATTCTGAGATGAATTTATATAAGTTGTCATTTTATGTTATGCTCACAATAACTTTTAGGCAGTTTGAAGAGAACACATGAAGAAGAAGATGATTTTGGAAGCATGCAAGTGGCAGCTGCGCAGAACGGCTGACTTGAGAAGCGTTATAGATGGTGTGAATTGTATCTGGAAAAGAGAAAACACCAGAGCTGATAATGTAAAATGGTAAAAATGCAAGTAGTTTATTTTCAATTATATGTTGCTTCAGACATGTTTCTCTGCAACTTGTTGAGCAACATTTCAAGATGTTGGACTCCTGTAATAGATGGCACTTGCTGATGGTTTTAGGTTTTTTGTTTTGTTTTTTTTAAAACACCTTACAGTTTTATTATAAAACAGAGAATTTTGGACTTGTAAAGGTATTATTGCAATAATGCACTTTTCATACTTGAAATTTATTCGTATGATACAAAGTTATTACTTTAAACAAAATGCAAGTTAGGGGGATTTGCTTATAAATTTTGGGTAATTTATAACAAAGAATTTCCTAAAGTTTGCTAAAAATTCATTGTGTTCTATATATTACATTTTAAAAATAATTTTACAGTTCAGTTTTATGATGGAGCCTCTTACAGAAACATTAACAAAAGTAGGTATCTGCCATTTTTTGGGTGTAATTCAGTAACTTAATTAGCATTTTATTTTTTAAACTTCCTGATCCCTTATTAATAATCTACAGATCATGACATTAGCCAACTATCCTCACTTTATTAATTTAATACAATTAATACTTCCTTTCCAATTACATTCCTAATGTGTTCTTTCTGTATTGGGGAAAAAAGGTTTAATGATCAAAGATAGATGTTTTGCTTTATAGTACCAGATGCTCAAAAGCAAGGATAGTGTTTGATTTTTCAAATGACTTTTTTTTTTTTAAAGCAAATGTTGTATTTGTTCTTTTCAGAGTTTGCCTAGCTTAGCCCTTTTTACCTTTGTCCAAAATGGTTCTAAATAGAATAAGCCAGTGTAGCACTATTTTTTTTTCTAAATGAAACACAAAAAAAGTGCCTTGCATTATTAAAAAGAACCTAAATCCTCATGACCTCTAAATTAGTATGTAGAACAGTAAAAAGTTCTTAACATTTTTCTGTAATTTCTTTTGTTTCTAAAAATTAAATTAGTTTAAACTGAAAGTGTAAGATTTGAAGAAGCATTACTAAATTATTTGGAATATGAAACATTTACTTCTTTATATTGTCCTAATGATTCTGTGAGGTTGTTCCAGCTCAAATAAGACAATAAGCTTTTCTTTAAAGTTGCATTTATTGGGGAAAGTGATTTGTGGGTGGCTTTGGAACATTTTAAATTAGCATTATAATTAGTTTTTTACATTGAGTTAATCCAAATTTCCCCCAAATTTGCATTAGCAAAGTCACTTTATGGATCTTTAGTTCTCTGTGTTTTTATTTATATGTATAAAAGTTGTTCTAAGAAAAACATTTTTGCTATTTTAAGTATGATGTAAGGGAATAGAGTTGTATTTTTAACTTTTTATAGTTGATGAGTTTAGGGTAGCACAAACAAAACTACTTTGTATCTCACTTTTCTCAGTCCTCTCTAGAGGTGCTTTACTGATGGAAATGACATCCATACGTTCTCTTTGTACCAAGAGGCACTATGCAAGATAACTGACTCCACCAAGTTGCTTGCTTTGCTTTCCTCCTTATGGTTGGGATAATACAGAGAAAGCTCTTTTATCCAGCATAGTGGGAGAGTGAAAATTAATTAGAATTACTCTGTTAAGGGTTAATTCTTACTGGCCCTGTGGTATCCCTCCTCTGATTTCCCTTGTATCTTAACCACCCTTAAAACAATGTATTGTTAATCCCATTGTGGATAGAACAGTATTCTATTGTGTGATTAGGTCATTTGGTGTAGTGGTCTAGTAGAGTCCAGATTGATTTGTGTTCAAAACTTATAGTTGGTAAAGAACCAGATACCACAGCTTTCCTGTATGTACATCAATATTGGATGGTCAGCAAAGATTTCTTGCAACCAAATCACAATCTGTGATGCTTCATTCAGCAGAAACTCTGCTTAAAATAATCATAAAAGTAAATTTGGCTCTTAAAAATGAGGTATTTGAGGTTTTGTAAAAGTTAACATCATAAAAATATGTATCTAGTAGCCTGGCCAAAAATACAGATTTGGCTATTGATAATTTTTAGCTCCTAATTTTTCACTTTTTCTAAACACTTATCATTTTTATGTTCTCACTTAAAGTGCCTGCCGAGCACTGTATACACAAGACAGTTCCTGAAATACTAGGGACTGCCATCATCTTGAGTATAATATTAATAGGGACAAAACATGAGATTTATTATTCCTTCATATGTTAACATTGCAAGTTTCATTTTTCTTCAATCTGTTTAATCCTTACTGTTCAACTAGTTCTTATGGTAACTCTTCCTGTTCTTTATTCTACTTGGTCCCATTTCTGTGGTTCTTTTATTTCCAGTTATATTTTGTGATATCGCCAACTAGGAAAAACTTCATCAATCATGATTTATTTTTGAGAGGATTTGCATAATGTGTGAGTGACCCACAATTTTAACATTAAATAGGTAATGTGGGCATAGTATTTACAGTAAAATTGTATCAAAGCATAGGGAAACTCTTTACTTTGGAACTTCAGTATTGAAAATACTCAAGCTGGAATGGCAGTGTTCTCATCCTCCAATTTCAGTTAATTGACTCTTGTTAAGTTCTTATCTATTAGATGTTTAAACAATATTTTTTATCTACTCTGTGGTGGAAATGTTAAAAAGCGTGATAGCTTTTGCTACTAACTTTCAACCACTTAACATTTTGAGCAGAATATTCATTTGGGGGAGATTTTGTGCTTAATATGAGTTTAGAAGTAATGTCAGAAATGTTAAGCATGTCCTTTGTTAAAAAAAAAAGAATTATATATATATATATATATAAGGTTCCTAATTGTCTTATTTCCATGGTAATTCAAGTGAATTAGAAATATTTAACTGCAATCTTGAGTTATAAAATTGAGATGTATTTATCAGGATCTCATAATCCTATTAACAAACATAGCTTCACTTCAATATTTATGTAACCTTTGTCCATGCAACAATGCTCCAATAAGGAAATGGTAAGAAATAGCTGAGACTTAGTAGAAAGTGTTTTTTTTTTTAAATTGATTTAGAAAAATAAGTTTCTAGGGTCTGAGTGCTGGATTTTCTTGTCTTTCCCATCCATGGCAGCTAAAAAAAAAAAAATCACTCACTCAAAATATTCAGGTTTACATGTTAAGCTCTCTCTCTCTCTCTCTCTGAGGGAGCTGCCATACCTCACAGTTCAAAGTGTATTCTATAAATCAGTAACATACTGACATGTAATTGCAATTTACTATGCAGCATAAAATGATTCAAGAAAAATAACGTATAGTGTCTATTTACCTCTGTATACATAATTGCTTACGTTACTCTGCTTTTAACATTTGTACTTGGATAAAAATGCTTATGTATGTAAAGGAATGTCACAGTGTAAGATGCTGATGCTGCTAGCCTAGGCACAAAGTATTAAAATATTTTGTGAAGATTGTGGTTGTATTAAAACTCTTGTGCCATTATACCTCAAAAAGATTGAAAAGCTCATTCATAACTGCTTATGCCTCAAAACTTAAACAAAAAGTTTGTCTGGTTTACTCCCACAGATTCAAAAGGGTAAATGAACTTTCAGTATTGAGAACCACAAAAGAGTATCTTCCAAAAATAAGAGATTACTTTTTCTTCAGTTTTAAATATTATGTAGAACTCTGGTTTCTTATAGAGGAGATTCAAGAGAAGATCTTAAGAACACAACCATAAAGGCATTATTAAGATGCCAACTGTATAGACAATTTTACCTGAAATAGTTCAGTGGCGAGTATGATAAAGCATGAAGTTTTCCCTTTTTACTAAGCTTATTTAGCACAGGTTTTAATTACAAGAATTCTTATTAAGACTTACTCTGAAAATACAAAAAATAACTGTGTTGCTTTCATTACAGACAGGTAAGTTCATGTGTTTGTGTGTCTAGGCTGTCAGCAGGTAGGTATTCCACCCTTGATTGGCAAAGCATTTCTTTTGTTTTGGAAAGCCAACTTTAGCTGAATTGGAAGAAAATCTAAAATCCAGTTGAAGTGGTCAGAATCAAAAAGATGAGGACTATGTGGTCCTTTCTCCGTTCATTTACAAAGAGTACACAGCACTAAGATGTTATGAAGCATAACTTAACCTGATAGTTTAGTGGAAGACTCAAGAAGAGTACAGACAGGAGTCTGACAGAAGACTCTGCATATGAACATGTTTAATTTAACATGGAATGCAAAAGATTAGAACCATTAATAAAGTACCTAATTCTTCAACTTAAAAAAATTCATTAAAATAAATAAAATCAACCAGGACAGTGACCAGAATAATAGAGCCTCTGTGATCACACTGAATAGAAAGGCTCCTGTCAACATTCTAGGGGTGTGACAAATGCAGCACCATGCATTTTTAAATATCTCAATTTGTGATCTATTTGTCATAAAAATGACTCAGAAGAGACTTCAGATGCCCAGGAAAAGAAAGACAGTTATTCACTCACTGTTTTAAAAGTACCTTAGATGCCTATTGTATTTGCTAGATAGATAGATGAGACGATGATACTTTACATACAATTATACAACTTTTAGTAAAACATTTAAATCATTCTACTTTGCATTTTGTCACATTTTTAAAGTTAATTTTCATTTTTTCTGTATCTTTAAAAAAGGCTGCCCAGGTTGTTTGCCAGTAGGATCAACAAGTTAGATGCATAAATGTATATTTATAACAGTTCATTTCATCTAATTAATATGATACACTCCTGTGTATTTAAATGTTCCTTTGAAATAAAAATACCTAATTTTATGAACATAAGAAACAGCCTTATTCAACATATACTTTTTTTTTTAAATGAGCAGCACAAATAGACATACAACTCCTTACTACCCATACATTTGACTACCAAGAATGAAGCCAGACTTTAGAAAAATACAATGCAAGAAAAGATTCAAGTTAAAAATATTTCTTTGGTTAAAAAATCAGCCCCTTTATAATATTCATTTGTAATCTAAACTCACAGCCCAAGTAATTCTCTAATGCCATTATAACTTGTATTACAATGTTTTTTTAGTCCAGTATTTATGGAGGTCATTGGGTTGCAGCAACAAATGTTGTAACTCTAGGAAGAGTAAGCCTTGTAGTATTTTCTCCCTTGACAATTCTTTCTTAAGAGATTTTTACTTAAGGAACCTCCGACACATGTAGTTTTCTTCAGACACTGTATATCCAAACTTTTTATAGAAACCAACATTTTGTGGTAGACATTCAAGAGTAATCTTGTAACAGTTCAGTTTCTTGCTTAGCAAAGTAAGAGTCGATAATAATCTGAAATTTTAAAAGAGAAGGATGAGGAGATAATACATACCAATTAAAATGGACCTTAGTAACAATATGAATTATTATTACATAAAAATAAACTCATTTTATTACAGGTTTAGCTCATGGTCCTTTCCAGTGCATTCACTTAAGTATTTAAATTATAAGTTGACAAGCATTTAAATACCAAAGTATTTTTACTTAGTTTTAAATATACTTTAAATTTTCAGCTCCTAAGTAAATAGAACAAATACTAAACTCACCCTAAACCTTTTTTTTAAGAGTTTTAAAGATTATCAACTTTTGTTTAAAAAGCCAAAATTATTTTCCAGCCAGGCATTGTCCCAGTGGCTGGGGATGTGGCTCAAGAGTGGAGTAGTTGCCTAGGGAGTTCAAGACCCTGGTTTCCATCCACCCCAGCACTGTAAGGAAAAAGTCTTTGTTCTAAATCCATTCAAACTAGAGTAGTCAACATTCTCACATAAAATGGATATATAAAAACTTTGTTGTCTAATATTTAAACCTACTTTAATATTTGGAAATAAGGATTAACTTAAGATCAGTCTAATGATGTGGACACAAAGCAAAACAGTGTACATCTTTACAGATCCTTAAAAAACAAAACCCTATATGAAAATGTGATCTAGCTGCCTTGGGGGATAAAAAACCAACTTACTGAAGGGTTTTCTTACATTTTAACAGACTAAAGAAATCTTACCATTTTGAAAACCAAAGATCTTGATTGAAGTTATAAAATGATAAAAGGTATGACTTAAGTTAAATGGACTAGAATAATAGCTGTTGGTCTATTTTGTTTATCTATATATATTCCACATACCTAGCATACAGTTAGTACATTGTTAGTGCTTAGTATTTACTGAGCAGATTCCTTAAAACTCAGAGATTATAATAAAATATTCTGTTCTATAGACTAGATTAAGATTTAGCTTGTTTCCTATTAGTATTAGAATATTACTGTTAAAAGTTAAGTTAATGATGGAGGCAGGTAAAGATCAGGACTTTTTGCCTGGGCAAAAAAGTTCTTGAGAACCCATCTCAAGCAATGGCTGGGCATGGTTGTACACACCTGCTATCCTCGCTACACAGGGAAACACAGATAGAATCTCAGTCAAGCTGGCCCAGGGAAAAGGTGGAACCCTATCCCAAAAAAATAACCAATGCAAAACGGGGTGAGGGTATGGCTCAAGTGTGATGCAGCTTGAGCACAACCCCAGTACCACAAAATAAATTAATAAAAAAAAGTTAACCTAAACATGTTATTCTTGGTAAGGGAGTATACTTTCAATTTTCAACTGAGGTATGTAACATAATGTGTTTTTGTTTTTGTTTTTTCATTAAATCAGTAAGTGCCAGTGGCTCACGACTGTAATCCTAGTTACTCAGGAGGCAGAGATCAGAAGGATCGCAGTTCGAAGTCAGCCTGGGCAAATAGTTCACTAGACCCATCTCAAAAAAACTCTTCACAAAAAAGGGCTGGTGGAGTGGTTCAAAGTGTAGGCCCTGAGTTCAAGCCCCAGTACTGCAAAAAAAAAAAAAAAAAAAAATTAAGTATAAAATTAAAAAGATTATAAATATATAAATAAAACTTAAAAGTATATTAAAAGGAAGAAAGTCAGTCAATGTATAGAATAAGAATTTCATAATTAAGGAAGCTCATGAAGAACTTTGAGCATTAAAACTTTTAAACAAGTGTCTTGACCTGGGGGTATAGCTCAGTGGGGGAGCACTTGCCATGTACAGGGCCCTGGGTACTGAGATCTCTACCCAACAAGAAAACAACAAAAAACTTCTAAACAAGTATCAGGGGAAGAAGCTACTCTGAACTGGCAGTGTGGCTCAAGTGGCAGACTGCCTACCTAGCAAGCATGAGACCGAGTTCAAACCCCAGTGCTGCAAAAAAAAAAAAAAAAAACCTGAAACACAAAGAGCATCTAATTTGCCCAGAGCTGCCTCATTTCTGCTTACTTACAATTTGCCAAGCTGCTTTCCTCTGCATTCATCACTAACAACAACGTCTTCCACTCTTCCTCTCTGAAAATAGGTGCAGTGAGTGTTTAAGGACTGAGCATTTAGTATTGTGTGTAAACTTGAGCTTCACAGAACAGATGCAAACAATATACTTTTTAAACATAGTATCAGGGAAGTATAATGAATCATCACCATTTTTTTTTTTTTTTTAGCTATATCCTCAACTTCTCTACTCCATTTTGAAGCAAATCTCACAATCCATACCACCAAAATGTAATCTTGTCATAAATGGTATGCTTAATAGCAGTTTATTTCAGACACTGCATAAAGTTTTCCAATTTCTACTGCAGAAACCCTACCAATGGGCTGAGTGTGGAGGTGTGCTACCTACTAAGAGGTAGAGAAAGGAGATTCACTATTTAAAGGTCAGGACAGGATTCTTTCTAGAGGGCCTTTTGGCTCAGGCTGGCAAAGAAGCTAGAAACCCTATCTAAAGCAAAAGTGGATAATGTGGGCTGGCCCCAGCAGGTGAAAAGGGATGAAAAAAGAAAGGTGCAGTGAATGCTGAGAGTAACAAATAATGAAGAGCCAGAAGCAAAGGTCATGTGACTGCTGGGCAAGGATGGCTCCGCTCACGTCTGTAATCCTAGCTATTCAGGAGGCAAAGATCAGGAGGATCACGGTTCAAAGCCAGCATAGGCAAATAGCTGTGAGACCCTATCTCAGAAAAAAGGAAAAAAAAAAAAACAAGAAAGGTTGGTGGAGTGGTTCAAGGTGAGTTCAAGCACCAGTACCCAAAAAAGAAACCAAAAACAAGTGAGAGCCAGAAGCAAAAGTCATGTGACTGACGGGCTAATTAAAAATTTCAAGCAAGTTACAGTGTATGACTGTAAAGCATCTGGGTCAGATGACTATTGTTCCTAGTTCACCATGTTAGGATAAGATTTGGATATTTGTTGAAGTATAGTAAAAAAATCCTAGTGTACACAAGTTACTAAGAAAAATCTGAGTGAGATCAGAGGTTTAGGCTCTGACTGGCGGTAGTGCTCGGGAAGGTTTTCTTTTTCCAGCACAGTGGTTGTGTAATGCCGGCCCTAGATTTCTTCCTAGGTACCAGAAGCCCAAGAACCTAAGTGATAGCCTAGCAGTCTCCACTTAAAAATGAATATCAGGTTGGGAAAGGCAGTTGCATGTCTTAAGTGAAATTGTTTTAATCACTGGTTTTGTGAAATGAAGTGGAGGCCCGTGGCTCACCTATAATCCTAGCTACTCAGAAGGCAACATCAAGAGAATATTCAAAGCAGACCACAGCAAATAGTTTGAGAGACCCTCTCAAAATACCAACACAAAACAGGGCGGGCAGAGTGGCTCAGGTGGTAAGCTCCTGCCTAGCAAGCATGAAGCCCTAGTTCAAACCCCAATACCAGCAAAAAAAAAAAAAAGGCTAGGGGTATGGCTTCAGTGCCTAAGTATGGTGAAAAAAACCCCCAAATTCATAAACTACAGAATACATTTCTAAGTTTCCTATCTTTCATTGAATTACATAGGGTGTTTTTTGTTTTTTACTATTTCATGTGAGTTCATGAGATGAAAGTACACTACAAGCATTAAAAGGGTCGAATTTTGAACAGATTAGTATTCTGCAAGTTATCACTTGAAAACTGGTAAGTACTGTTTTTGAAAAAATGTAATATTAAGGATCCTTAGCATAACTGCCAAATTGCACGATACCGTGTGTTTCTGTGAAAAATAAAGCTACCAAACGTAGCTTTATTGCAAGACAATTGTAGCAGATTATTCAATACTATTAGTATTAGTAATAATGTTTTCCTTTATAGTTCTCAGAAAAAGTTCCTGTTACTTAAGGCGATTTCTCCAAGTCAATGAAAGCAGTGAGGATACAGTGTGAAAACACCTAATTTATTCTCATAAGCATTAATGTGGCCATAACCTTAGCACAGGAATGGATGAACTTATGTTCTATTATCAGAGTTGCTGTTAGCAACAATCTGTCCTAGGGTCCACATCTTCCACAACTGTGACATAATAGTCCCCAGATTGCTTCATATGCTCAAAAGATTCTGTGGAAATTGGAAAACAAAAGTGTTACATGATAGACATTTGATTTTATTAGGTGCCCCAAAAATACTAGGATTGGCTGAGCTTATTGCTGAATAAAGCTATTTACATACTAATTTACTTTCCATTTCTAAAAATCATTACATTCTTAAAACTGACTAAGAATAGAATTTGCTAATATTTCAAATTCTTGATCTATAGTCCATATTGATTGGGCTATAGTCCATGAGTTTAAAATAATCTACTAGCAATAATAAAACTGCTAAGAGTTATTTTAGATGAACACAATCAGATAAATTTTACAGTTGCTATTCCTATGATTAATTAAAATTAAATATTTTCATTACTTAGTTACTTTAACTACATTTTTTAACCTTTACTCTCAACAGATTCTCAAAAGAAACAAACAAAACTTAACAAGAGTACATTTACATCCTGTAATTTATAGTCTTGGTTTTCAAAATATTTTGACAAAACAGTTTTCGTTTTCCCTTTGTGATTCAAGTGTTTTCATGATTACATAGCTTCTCTTTTAGAACAGAATCATTGTTTTGGGTTTGATTCAAAAGCACCTTACAAATGTGAAAAATATGTCTCCATTTCCTAGAAATTTTTCCAAAGTCACTTAACAAACAGGACTAAAGATACTTTCACCTCAAATGATTAGTACTTATCATTTAAAAAGTACAGTTTCTCCTCTGATCTGATATGCATGCCAAGAGAAATTCGGGCGTTAAAGAAACAAGCCTAATGACTCTCATACTGTTCATTTTGTCATATTCTACATAGGCCAAAAGTAGGAAGGAGAAATACATTCAAGGAAGAAAAATAAGCAGTAAGAAATGGAGAAGGATGGTCTTCATTCTCAGCAGGGTCAAGAGATTAAAGAATTGCAGAAGACAGGAAAAGGCAGTGGGTAGAGGACTTGCTGAGGTTAGGATTCTAATCCTTTCATTACTAACAACTACCTATGCTTCTGGTAAGACTGTAGGTCTCTCTGCATGCCCATTTTTCATATGTGGCCAAAAGGAGTCATATAACTATAAGATACCTGCTAACCTTAAAATTTTCAATGTAAGAGCAAAAGGTTAAACTTTAAAGTTGATCATATGCTCATGCATTTTTTATCTGGTGATGAAATTTCTGTGACACTAAAACCACATGGAAAGAAGTGCAACAATGAAACATCTCTAGAGTAGCCTCCTAATATAGTACCTGCTATGCTACAGTCGGTTATTTTTGCAAAACAAGTAATTACCTACATTTGGATTCTAAAACAACTCAGCTATGTTAAAATTTAGTTAAGAAAATGATTCGTCTGTTACTTGAATAACTTCCAACTATTTGAACAAAAATAGAAGCAAATATTAACAGCTCTAAATAAAAATTAATTTCCTTTGTCTCTTCATTTCAGGGAAATAAGCATAGTACTTACTCATAAATTGCTCAGGGTTGACAACTCCAGTCTCTGTCAGCTGACCAATACCTTTAAAAAACCTAGTTTAAAAAGATTTCAAGTCATGAGAAGAACAAAAAGAAGATAGTATGAAAAGAAGCAACCTGGTGGGATATGAGAAGTTATTTCTCTAAAACTTTTCATAATCATCTTTTAAATTGCTTTATTATTCAAAAAGATTAAACCAAACCTTTTCTTTTATAATACTACAACAAAGAATAGGTTTCACTCATGTTTTTTGCCTACTGTAAGATTTTAGAATCGTGCAGACTTAAAATTCAGTAAGCTTCATAATACTCTTTAGAAGTTAGTAAATACATTTTTCAAATATTGTGTTCATTGCAAGGGATTCCAATTTCTCCCAAATACATGATTTGGTTGCAGAGTGCAAATTCTCAGTGTGGA